TATATATATATCACGCAAGACCTCCTGAAATCTTGCGAGAATTCATGTCAGAGGAAATATCTCACACAGTGTTACCAGACGTACAATAATTATAATATTTGTATGATAATTATCACATTTGTTCGATAATTTTGCCCTCTGTACAACATATGATCAATAATTCCAAAAACCCCATATTATACGATAATTTGACCGTTTCAATGTGTGACGTAATTGACCTGACACGCGGCTTGCTGACATGAGAGGTAGCGGGGTGTGGAACACAGAGGTGCCAATTTAGCGACTTTGTCACTGTGTTTACAGAGTTTTCAGACCCCTCCAGAGACTGTTTTTCAGAAAAGCGACTAGTGAAAATCTAGCGACTTTTCTTCTGGTGTTATTGAGACTAATAGAGACTCTGACATAAACGCAGCAGGTGCTGCTGAGAGCTCCTCCCCGGTCCCAGAGCACCGACAGGAGGCTTCTTCATGCTGCGTCCCTCCCTGCTGCAGGCAGATATCCATCCCATCCAGACTTGAAACGAATGCTAGTAAATAGCTGCTGCTGATTGATCCATGATGGGATGTTAATTAAAACATTTCTATGGCTAAAATAGATCTCTATAAAATAAATTTAATTGCCTTTTTCCTGTCCCAAACCACAACAAAAAAGAAGGTTAGAGCTGTGACAGTTAAAATAAAAATAATAATCTATATAATAAAAAAGGGAGCTACAGATGAAACTTTATTTTTTGTTCTCTTGACATGCAAAGAGAAGGCAGGCTGCCGCAACACAGTCATGAGGTTTTTATTTTATTTTATTTTATTTTTTTTGTAAACCCTAAAACTCTACTCCTACCAGCTGGTCAGAGAATCAAACATCCAAGTCGACACAAAAAGGACGATTCAAATATTGAGTTGAATGAAGAATCTATCTCTAAAATTATTATGAAAGTGTTAATTTATGTAGTTTAAAATACATATGTTTAACAACCTGCAAATACACCAGAATGCAGGAAACAGCACCTACTTCATTCAAAATTTTCTGGGGGTGAACCCATAGACCCCCCTCCCACAATTAGTAGCAGCAAAGATAAATATAACAGTAGCACTTATGTGAAAGAAATAATAACTGTAAAATCAGAAAGAAAAAGGTGGGACTTAGAAGGTGAGAGGTAAGCAACATTTACATTTAATAAACATCCAGGTGCATCCAGAAGCTATTTTTAAAGAAAAAAATGAATTTGGAGGCTTGCAGATTAAATTTGCACATGCACTTAATATTGACTAATCAAAAGTACAATAAACTACAATGATTTGTTCTTTTCCTGATTTCATTCTAGTTTGACCAATTTTATTAATTTACATTTTATTATAGTCATTTTATCTAATATTTCTTTTCATATGTAGCATTTCACCAGACTCCCTCTTTTTTCTTGTTCACAATAAAGCTTTTGT